TAGGGTTTAGGGTTTAGGGAGGACCAAAGCCTCCCACGCCCCAATGCCAAGCCGAAAGCCGTGGGCTTGCACTATTCCTCACCGCTCTTGCTATACAAACTGCTACCCAGTAGTCTTACTAAACATATTATAGAGAAAAAAATATGTTTCCCCTATAACATGTTTACTACTGTAGTTCTTATGAATATTTCATAATTGTTGTTCTTATAAACTTTCTTACATGAGGACCCAGGCTTGGCTTTGGCCAAGTCTCCCAAGCTGCAGCTCTTCGGCATGCTCCCAAGGCCAGGTTGTAGTCGTAGGTGCCTTGACTCAGGTGACTCTTCTGGCTTTCGCAGGCACAGGGTCGGGTTCGGAAGGTACTACTACTACTGCTACTACTACTACTACTACTACTACTACTACAACTACTACTACTACTACTACTACTACTACTCCTGCTCCTATCTGTGGCCCTTTGGCCCTTCGGAGTGCTCCAAATGTTTTCATAGAGCACGGAGACTCTGCATGCCAGGGATGAGGGGGGGACGTGAAAGGTGTTGAGTCGTTTCAGGTTGCTTCGTCCTTTGCAAGCTTCTGCCCGGAAAGGAGAAGCAGCGAACCTCCAAACAGTCCAAACACGAAACAACGACACCTCAACTCAAGCAGCTTGAATGGGTGCAGGCTCTGTGAGTAGAAGATCTGCTCTGCTTCGCTAACTTCGGGTGCCAGGGGGTTGAGAAGTTAGGCGTTACGCAGGGCTTGGGAATATACGGTCCAGCTCAACGAAGCTTGCGCCGCGATTCCTGAACCCTACTCTCTCCCCCTCAGTTGTTGAACCTGAGAACTCGAGATGATCATACCAGCGGCTTGAAAGTTCCGATGCCTTGATGTAAGTCGCGCATGGCGCCATCTAAGAACAGATAGGTCCGAACAAACCCTGCCGGCTTCGGGGTAATGGGAGTGGAGTTTAGTACAGTAGCGTTTGGGGAGAAGCATTTTTAAAAGGGGTTTTGGGGTTCGGGGTTTAGAAATTAGCAGGGTTGCGTATCATAGACATCCGAAAGCTTAAAGTGGGTGCGACTTGGGCCCCTTTTTGCATTTTCAGCGATTGCTTGGGGTAGAGTCTAGGGCCTTAATAATTAGAATAGAATTCTGGGGGGTTCCTTATTATAACTATAATAGAATATACCCAAAAACCCTCTTCTAACTATTAAGGCCCCTATACCCTAAACCCTTATAGCGATGGCCATGCTGGCAGCAAAAGCTCTGTCTTGCCACCGGCGGTCACGGCAACCCTAAACCCTAAACCCTAAACCCTAAATTCCTAAAACCGTCAGGAGCCAGACGCAGCGGTGAGAACTTTACGGGTTTGGGGAGCTCTGGGGTTCAGGGTGCAAGGCTTGGCTTGGAGGTTCGCCGCAAGTTGTAAGGTGGGGTTCTAGGACCCCAATGTGGGTTTAGGGTTTAGGGTTTAGGGTTTAGGGTTTAGGGTTATAGGACTCGACTTATAGATACCCCTACTTCATTCCCCTACCTATCCGGAGCTACGAGGTCTCTATAACCGCCGAGCTCCAGAAGGGCTCCTACCATGGTTTGGGGCTTCCAGAACCCTTGAAACACTTACTGGTTCACTGTTCCACTTCAGCACATCACGTGTCATCCCTACTAGCGCCGTCCGCGCTCTAAGCAGATGCAGCAAACGCCCACAGCAGCTTTTCATCTCGGTTCCGCAATGGCAAGCGACATTGGCAACAGAAGCGCGAGCTTCTCAGAGTATGTAAAAAGATAGCTGTACACATGTCCTACATTTTCAGGATCTACAGGGATGGGTTCAGAGCTTTGGGTTCTGCCTGAGACCAACAAATGAAGCATATCCATCAAAATATCTTATCGGAACCCTATTCCTGAACAAAGAAACTAGTCCTTACGAGGCTCAGATAACCCGGCAAGCAAGTCGCAAACACTCAACTCCAGATCCTGGGCCCCACTCACTGCAACCTGAACAACAACCTTAAACCCCGGCTTTCTGATTTCTGACCCTAAACCCCTGCTTTCTGAGACCCTAAACCCCTGCTTTCTGATTTCTGAGCTCAGACTTGAAATTTCGGCGAGGGGCTCGTGTCAAGGTTGTAAGGCAGCTCCGCCAGTCGTTGCTACATTGCTACGCTTTATGCAAACATATGGGTAGTTGTCAAAATGATGGTCCCTTTTGGGGGTACCCTAAATAATAAGTGCCGTATTATAATAAGGACCCAAAAAGGGACCATAATTTTGACAACCACCCATATCTGAGTGCTGCTTAAACTGTTGTTAGTGCTTGTGTGAGCTGTTGATACAAACATAGCTACTGATACAGTCCTTGTCATGACCCTTCTCGACAATCTCCCGAACAATCGTAACATCTCTGGAGGTAACATCTCTGGAGACGCTGATGGTGTTCAATCGTCCATCATGATCATATCGATGACGACGACGACGATGACAACGACGATGCTGGGTGGTGATAAGCCTGGCGATGATGTTGACAGTGATGATGATGGTGGTGATGATGACGATGATGACGACGATGACGATGACGATGATGATGATGATGATGATGATGATGATGACGACGATCACGGTCCTGGTTTTCGATAAAGTTGTTCACGAGAAGCTTTGGCCCACTTGCCGATAGCCGTATATGCCGTCAAGACAGATTTGCTCCAGAAGGGCACGGAACCTTGTACCTAGTTGCTGATTCCCCGCGCCGAAAAAGTATGGGAGTGTAGAATCCACAAAACAAATCAGGTTACCCTCTAAGCTATTGCGTGTACAATCTCGAGATTCGATCACTGGCGAGTTCCTGCCTCCTTTGACCCCGACCACCAGCCGCTCAGAAAGCTCACAGATGGAAGCATCACAGCCTGCGCTTAGGATCAAGGCCTCATGGGTTTAGGGTGTTATGGCTTTGCGCTAAAAAGAACTGAGGCTGAGGCTTAGGACTTCGGGTTTGTCTATATCAGGGTTCAGGAATTAAGTTATATTGGTGTCGAAAGCATTTCGCGGCTTGCCGTTATTGCCAGCCTGTTTACCGTCCTCCCGCCACGGCTGAAGTGGCGCACTGGCACACGAAACTCCAAGCCACACGTAAACCCTGAAGCTCCAAACCCAACACCCCTGTTCGTGGCAAACCCAATATAGTAAACCCCTATACACTACTCCTAAGGATTGAGGCTTTTGGGTTTCCAACTTCTGGGCTACTATAAACCCGAAGCCAGAATTAGTTCGCAACCCTTCAGGCCTGAACACAGGATACGGCTAGTCTGCCTCTACCCCAAGGGGGCTACCTAACGGCCACTGCGAGTAACCCTGCCCTCAAGAACTCCGTCAGAGAGAAAGACGAAAGACTAACAAACCCACCTTCCCAAACCCCTCGTGGTTCCCCCTTTCCGTGGGCCTCAGCCAGCAGATGGTCTCATGTGCCGGCGAGGAAGAAGGCGCCCTGCTGCTGCTCGCTGGGGTTGCTGCTGCGGCTGATGCTTCTGCTCCTGCTCCTGCTCCGCTCCTCCTCCTTCTGCAAAACCGAGATTACTGAAAGAACCCACGTCCTGCACCATCACCACCGACATCGCTATGCTTCGACGACCGCGACTACTCTTAGCACTGCGCGACAGACTCGGGCCCTGGAAGCTCGGGTTCCGGGGCTTTGGAGTTGAAACTGTTCTCGTTGGTAGAAGGGTTCCCGTTGCAGGAGCTCTTGGCTATGAGCCGCAAAACTCACACCGAAGCACTCTTGTCTTGCTTCCACCGCTTTCACGAAGAAGATGTGAACTCCCAACCGGTTTCTGAGAGCTTCTGTGGCTGACATACGCTTTCACAAGCTTGATGGGAATATATGGGAATCGGTCCCAGAGTAAGGGTTGGAGGCTCAGGCAATGCAGTTGAACCTGCCAACATCAAGTCCCTGCGCGCTGGCCTCGTAGGGTGCCAGGTGCAGGGGGTCGTTCAAGGTTCCATCACCGTGAAGGACCACCTGTTGCGCCAGTACTTGCTTCGGCACTGCAGATGTTGGTGGCCTTTCAGGGCTGTGGGTCCTACAGCAGAAACCCAAACCCTCGAAGCCAGATCCATCTAAAGGCAGCAGAGCTGATGCAACAGGCTGCCCAGCATGTAATACCGCTTGGCTCATAAAGAAGTGCGCCTCTCTTTTCCCCGGTCATGGCAGCGAATCAAGCCCGAAACCTTGTTCTAGTCGTCTTGTGCTCGTAGACAACCCCCACTTCGCCCGCAGCGTCCGAATTTCTGCAGAACACCCGAAGCCAGAGAACGTCACGGAAACCTCCTTGAACCGAGCTTGGAGGTGTCAGGGTTGTTCTAAGTGGGGTGAAAAGTCCCCCAAGATGGAACATATTTTTTCGCTACCCTACTTAGACTCCAACTCTAAACCCTAAACCCTACGCCCTAAACCCTGAACCCTAAAACCCGACTTATAACCTACTTATGAGCCTCCAAAGAGGTGGTAAGCCTTCAGGCGCTCCCGGCCTTCTGATCCCCTGTGGAGATGGTGCGGTCTCCCGCTCCTGCGAGCACCGCTACTCTTCCGGTGCTCTTGGGCCCTACCGTCTAGGGGCCTTTTGGGGCCCAGTATACTATAGTTATAAGAAGGAATCCCCAGAATAGCGTAGGGAATTATTAAGGCCCCTGTATCAAGCAGCTTTTTACAGATTCAGAGTTCGAGCTTGGGGCTCCTTACGCTACCACGATCCAACGGTTCCAAATCCAGACATGCTGCAGCCGAGCTCGAAGAGACCCGCAAAGCCTCAACACCGAAGTCAGAAGTTGTAATATAGGAGCCTCCTCTACTAGAGTAGAGTTTTGGGTCGATTCGGTTGAGCAGGACGCTGGAAACTTGAAGCCTCTTCGGCTTACGGCTTACTTGGCGGTTCACGGGTAGCTATAAGTGGGGTTCTAAGTCCCCAAAGAAAATATGGGCTATAGTTTTGTTACCCTATATATGTATATATATATATATATATGTATTTATAGATCCAACTTATAACCTCCCAATGAGCCTGCACGTAGGGTTTAGGGAAACCTTGAAAGCTTGGGGTCCGGAAGGCAGGGATTGGCAGATTCTCATCCCTACATAATGGCACCTATGCATATAATGTAGGGGCCTTCATAATTTGAATAGGGTTTCGGGGCATACAATACTATAACAACAATGTGGAACCCCCAAAATAGTATAGGTAATCATTTAGGCCCCTATATTACTAGTAATGTTTGCTTGAGCATGTCTATTATTTTGGTCAGTATATATGAAAGTTTGCTGGATACATGCACAAGTTGTTGCATGTTGCGGCCTCCTCATTTATCCTGACTTTCCCAAGCATCAATATGAAATGACAGGTCGCTCAGTCCTCTCTGCTGCAGGCAGGTGGAGCCTTCAAAAGCCACCGCCCCTGAGGGATGCATGGTGGAGGATACAAAAACACCCAGATCCGCAGATCTGCAAACCCAACATCCCCAAAATCCTGTAATCCACGCCCTATCCGCCCGCTGAGACCCTCACATTAACGCGCCTTCCTAACTCAGCGTCCTAAAGCGTTCATCATCCAAAACACGCAAACCCTTGAGTCCTAAACAAGGCATTGCAGTTAATGTCAGACCCTTGCAGCCGAAAAACCCTGAACCTGCATTCTGCGACTCGGTCTCTAAAGGCACCTAACGTCACACCAAAGTGCAGTATATTAGTATACGAATGTTCTTATGGTGGATGGACGTAACGGGGGGGGCTGGCTCGCTGGCTGGATACATGCATGTTACACCCCGACATACCTACCTACCTACCTACCTACCTACCTACCTACATACATACATACATACATACGTCACATACATACACACGTACATACATCCATCCATCCATCCATGCATGCATGCATACATACACACATACAGACAGACATACATAAAGTCATACAGCCATTCATGCATACATACATACATACATAAATAGATACATACGTTTTACACATACACATATACATATACATATTATACAGGTATACATATTATATAAACACATACACATACAGATATACACATACATGCACATATACATACACATATACTTGTACACATACATGCTGCGATAAGGCGACATTTCGTTGCACTGTGTATGTCGCTCTTGAACACGGTACAAGCCCCTTTTCTCCTTAGACTCCTGCACCAAGTCCTCCGTCCGGAACATGATAATAATATAAATTTACTACAGGGTGTTAATTCCTCCGTTTGCCAGGCCACGGAAAATGCACTTGTAAATTCTCCGCGTCCTCCGCAAGATGGTGTAGCCAAGTGCGACGAATGATGTATACATTTACACCTACCAAGCATTACACATATGCAGGTTTCCGAAAATAGGGGCCCAGGGGACCCTAATATAGTGCCCTAAATAGTAGGATCCTTGTTATAAGGACCCCCAAAATAAGGCACCCCTGAATTTCTGAAACTCCCATATAACACACACAGACACACACTCCTTCAGTCACCAGCCTGCGGGGTGCGGATTCAAAACCTCAGAGCCATCATTTTTGGGTTTAGGGTTTAGGGTTTAGGGTCTAGGGTTTAGGGTTTAGGGCAGGGTTCCGGGTTCTCGAAATGGGCCTTCGGGAGCTTAAAGTTTGAGGGGTGGCTCCCGTCTTCCTCTTTTCTGCTTGGCCATGCAGACAGCCATAGCCATGATGGCGTGTTGGGGCTTCATGGGGTTTGAGGTATAGGGTTTAGAGTGGACTATATACTAAGGGTCCTCCAAAACTCGGAGAAGGCATTTTGGGGCTTAGAGGTCAGCGACCCAACCTCACAAGACTAGTCAGACTGCCGAATAGAAGTGGCAATGGCGAAAGACATCGAAACAACGATATATGAGCCGTGATACCAGTGAAAGGACCGCACATGCTGTCTGCAGTTTTGCGCATCCTTGTACTACATGACATGATTATGTTTGCTAATAACACTAGGAACCGCAAAGTCTTACTGAACAACAGATGGACGCCAATCAGAGTAGGCATCATAGTCATAGTGATATGAAGCATGGCTGGCATGACAATAACACGGACAGCGACTCCCAAACATGTGACAAACAGCGAAATGACGATGTTAGTCTGTGATACCAGTGGCAAGCATAATAATGCTAACAAGACAACTGCTTCTCACGATGACTGCGGTTGTTGACAACTGCAACATCCTACACCACACACAGGGACAACAAGAAGCAAAACGTGTGCTACAATGCTGCTGGTAAGAAGGTTAGGAACAAAAGTGGTGAGACCGCTGCTAAAGAAGCCGATAGGGCATGCCGCTCGGTACATAACGCATGGAAAACCATACTGGATAAGATAATGATAACGGCTATTCAGCACCATCGTCCTCACAGCAATGCAGACTGCACAAGCAAAAACACAGCAACAACTCTGGTGATGGTGATGACGATGACGACGACGATGATGATGATGATGATGATGATGATGATGATAAGGATGATGCTGGTGAGGGTGATGGTGCTGGTGCAGGTGCTGCTGCTGGTGATAGTGATGGTGATGCTGATGGTGCTGCTGATGATGCTGCTGATGATGCTGATGATGATGATGTTGATGATGATGATGGCGATGCTGATGGCGATGATGATAATGATGATGATGATGATGATGATGATCAGGAAGAGGATGAGGATGAGGATGATGATCAGGATGATGATGATGATGATGATGATGATGATGATGACGATGTGGATGATGTTGGTAACGATGATGACGATAATCATTATGATGATGGTGCTGACCATGATCATGATGATGAGGAAACGACGACGAGGCCTGAGAATGAAGATGCACATCATCCTTATCATCACCATAAAAGACACTAGGAATCATAACCATGTGTATTACGCATACATGCTCATTGCCTCATGCTGCTAGACGAATCCTGCCAAAGGAGCCTAACACCACCAACAAACCAGCCTGGCAAAAGCCTAACAAGACCGAAAACTAAGAACAAAAACGCTCAAGCCTCCCTTCGGAGACACACAGACCCTAAACACAGACCTACCATCCGTTGATTAGCATTTCCTTTGCCAGGGGGTGTTGTTAGTTCATTGTCAACAGGCGTGGGTTTTAGAGGTTCCGGGTTTAGGGGCTACAACCAGCATCAAGAGTCGAGGCAAGGAACAGCGAAACCCAGCAGCGCCCCACCCTCGAGATCTTTGCCATCGGAGTCGACTCGGAGAGAGAGTGCGGGGGGGTTTGGGGTTCAGGGTTTGGGATTCCGCTCCAAGGGCATGAGATCTGTGGCCAAGGGATCAAAGCTTGGGGGCTTAGGGTTTAGGGTTTAAGGTTTAGGGTTTAAACGACTTCTTGTTCAGGATCCTGCTACCTAGGACTTCTGGCTGGTCTGCTGAATTGCAAGCTGTGAAGCCAGGCTTTGCGCTGGTCATAATTTCGCCTCGTAAACAACCTGAAATAAACCCATCTACTGTGGTCTCATGCAGGCGGAGGACGATGTAAGCCAAACCGAAATTCCTAAACTCCAGTTAAAACTCTCAACCCCTGCACCAAAGACCCCCGAACTTCTAAATCGTCACTACGCACGCTGGCGGCCTTCGCGTGCGCACATGTTGTAATAATCACTTGACCCCATCGGTCGACACATCGTCCCGACGAGCGACGACGATGCCGCGATCATGGCTTCATCCCCAGCAATAGCACTGGTAGTAGTACTGGAAACAAAGCAACAGTCGTCGTCGTCGTCTTTTGTCGTTGCTTGTTGTAGGAAAAATCACAACAGAAGCAGAAGCATTTTCCTCCGTACAACGGTTTAAGCCAGACTCTCCTGCAGTTTTGGGTTTAGGGTCAAGGTGTTGCATGCTCAGGATTTCAAGAATGGGCAGCAACAGGCACTTGGACTTGGACACTGTGTGTTCTATTAACTGTCTTCCAAAGCCAAGTCTTCTACACAACCCAAGCTAGCAACCATGGTTGCCCTACCCCTACACCCTAAACCCTGAACCCTAAACCCTAAACCCTGAACCCCTACCCCGAAAGACTGAACACGGCAACGAAGTCTACGGGAAGCGACCTGCGTCCACTCTGCAGGCCACACAGATCGTTAGAGGACGGCCGCCGTCCTCGGACTCCATGACCCTGGGCAGCTCAGGAGTGGTGGTCAGGGTCAATAGTAACACCTGGTGTCATCAGCTGCATTCCAAACCCTAAACCCCAAACCCTAAACCCTAAACTCTAACCCCCCCCTGCCCGCCTGATCTCGGTCCGGATGGTCTGCCTTTGCTCGGGAACCAAACCCTCGATCGCACCGCGCAGGGCCTGGCGGCTTCAGGGGTTTAGGGTTTTAGGAGTTTAGGGTTTAGAGTTTAGGGTTTAGGGTTTAGGGTTCAGGGTTTAGGGTTTAGGGCTCAGGGCGCAGCCATTCTTGGGAGTTTTGGAGTTTGGGGCCAAGGGCTTTGGTTTTCCTTGAAAGGCTTCAATTGCAAAACTGGTAGATTCTTTGCCTGCTTTTCGGATTTGATGGAAATCTCGTGATTGGATCAAAGGACTTCGCGAATTAGCTCCAGTTAACAGCCACCCATTAACGCAAATTAACGTACGATTTATCCTGCTTGTAACTATGAGCCGCCAAACGAGCCCTGATGTGCCCTCAGGCCTTTCGGTAGGCAAGCGCCTCTTTGATGACCATTGACTTCTTCACCTGATCGGCTGTTGGGATTTTAGCAGGTGTTCTCTTCTGGTATGAGAGTCGAGATGTCGAATTTCGGTCCCTGGGTTTGCCACAATCCGATTGCTGAACAGCGCCGTCAACCTGGGTCATTCCGCCTTCATCTCTGATCTAACTACGACTCTTGGCGTCAGGCTTCGCAGACAGTCAGGACTTGGGGTCCAGGGTTGTTGCTAGGGTCATGCAACATTTTCTGGGTTTCAGGTTTTGAATCCAACAACCAACTCTGTCATATTTCCAGTATTGCCGGTCTGGCCCTTGTAGTTTAACACTAAATCTTTAGGGAAAACACCCTGGAACAAAACTCTAAAAGTTGTTTTAGACCTTACATGACCATATAACCACCACAAACCGTGTCATAAGAAGCCACTTAACAACCAAAAACCTGCCCCGTCCCCTACAGCTCTTGAAAAAACTGAGGCCGCGTGCATCCTCAGCAAGAAGGAGGACGGAGCCGTCATGCGCGGCCTCAGAAGCTGTCTAGGCAGGCCTACTTGCTTTAAGGGCTCTAGGAGGGGTTTTCAGGGTTGGGGGCTGAGAGTTTGCATGGCTTCAGGGATTTAGGGTTTGTACGTCTTCAGGGTTTGGGTTTCTGAGCGGGTTTAGGGCTGAACACCCACACCTAAACGACCCTAAACTCCGTACTGGTCTTCAGGAGGCTAGGGAAGGTTTGCCATGTTTGGCCTAAGTTCGGCGTTTCTGGTTTAGGGGCTTGGGGCTCAACTGGCATGCCAGCTCACGCCTCAGGGAAATCTATGACCTGCCAAGGTCCAAATCCTTGCCAACGTATTCACCCGTGTTGGTAAGTTCTACGGACGGGGGATTTCGGGCGTGCGCTCAAAGGTAAGGGTTGCACACTTTAACCCCACATCCAAAACCCGTATATGCTAAACCGGCCCAAAGCCCAAAACAGAGCCGCGTCGCTAGTAGCCAGGCTGCAGCCACTTGGGCGCTGCCCTGGTGCAGGGGCCCGGTGCGTGCATCCGACTGATTCCGCCATACTAAACCGTGGCATTGGGGTGCATCAAGCTTCTGCAGCAACGTGTGGTGGTTCAGGGCGAAGGAGCCCGACAGGGAAGTGGGAACAACCCTGCGTCACTTTGCAGGTGAAACCTTCAAGCGAAGCCCCCGACCTCCCACCGCAGGCGCACTGGATCCCGTTTTCAAAATTGCACCAAAGCGATGAAAAGTGATGATGGTGGCTCCTGTCCTTTGCATGGTAGGATAAGGGGTGGTGGTGATGATGCAGATGATGGTGAACCTGAAAAGATTAAGATGATGATAATACTGATGACGATGACGATACCGATGATGATGACGATGACGATGAAGATGAAGATGAAGATGAAGAGGAAGACGAAGAGGAAGAGGAAGAGGAGGAGGAGGAGGAAGAGGAAGAGGAAGAGAAGAGGAAGAGGAAGAGGATGGTGGAGATGAAGATGAAGATAAGATGATGATGATGATGTTGATGATGATGATGACGATGACGATGACGATGACGATGGTGGTGGTG